ACCATACCTGTAGAGTTTAATGAACAACAGAAGAGTCAAGGTAGACTTGAGGTCACATTAAATGTGTTAAAAATGAGAAAGCAAGAAAGGAAACGTGACTCTAACAATCTCTTTTCTTGCCATGAAACTATAAGGGGGAAAAAAAAAGTGTGGGGCTCTGAAGAATCAAAAGGACAGGACAAAGAAAGCCTGTATATGAATGTACAAAAGTAGATCTCTTGCTTGGAATGAAATTGTGAAAAGATTATAATTGTAAATAAATTGCTCTCTCTTGGGGTGTGTTTGGTATGGAGGGAACCAATTTTCCCATGTTTGGTTGGTCAAAACATTTTTGAGAAACATTTTCTTTAGGAAAACAAGTCTTTAGGAATGAAAAAAACTTCACGGGAAGAAGGGAAAACAAGTTTCACAAGTGATATTCCAAGTTCATTGTCTCCTCCCCACCTACCCAAGACCATCCCACCCCAAACCCCCACTCCCCATCCCACCCCATAGGTTCTGCCAGATAAATATATAAATGCTCTTGAATACTATTTTTTTGCTTACTTATCAAACACTAGAACACAAGTAAGAAACCCAATTCTGTTTTCTTACCAAACACTTCAATCTCTCCTGGAACTTTTGAAGAAGTTATTCTTCAAAATTATTTTGAGACATTACAAATTGGATTTAATTTAAAATATCAAGAAAGTGAAGAACAAAGCCAAAAGTCAACATGACACTACAAGAAACAACACATAGCTATTATATGTGTATGTCATTTTAAAAATTTCTACATTCATTAAACATTTACAATAATAAAAAAATAAAATAAAAAAAGAAATTGACTCTCCTTTCCAATATTAGCATGTGATATGCAAATTATATAGGTTAAAACTTGTGAGGAATGTCAAAAATTGGGAGGCAAGCAGTTCTGCATCCTCTTCACCCACCCCCCACCCCCCTCCTTTCCATGGAAGTATTTCTTTGTCAATTTAGGAAGTGAACAGTATAAAGCATGATGAATTAATTATACTCAAGTGAGAGAAGTGAAACACCAAGACCAAGTCCAATAACACCAAAAGAAACCTGCACATTAGAGCGAGGTCAGAAACAATTGATAATTCCTTCACTAACAGTAGACGGCAAACATTCAATGGCCTATAGCATATTTAGATGGTCTGGTTCATTTCATCAAACCAATTTCACCAGATCAAGGGAATTCCAGCATTCTAGGACCCATAAATAAATTGATATAGGATGAAATGCAATCTTTCTTGATGATATCAATGGGGAAAAGAAAGAGAAGTCCAAGTTCAGATCGATTTTAAAATTAAAAAACACAACTACGTCGTGCATTTTAGTAAGGAAATGCACATGAAGAACCAAATATAAGTGATGTCAAGTAAAGGAACTGAAAACTACAATTCAAATATATATTATCAGTCAAGCTCAAAATCATCTTATTCAATGCAAAAGTAAAGCTCTTACATTTCTAACTCGAAATCCAGTGACTAGTCTCTTTCCACTAAATCTCAAACTACTTATTCCTACTCACTGACATATTCTCTTTAGTGTTTTCTTAACACTTAATACACTGCATCATTCCAAATTAGTTAGGTGGGCTGGCATGAATCCTCACCAAGTGACCCAATGGTCATAACTTTACTCATAGACGCCGGATTGACAAACGGTTTGGTATAGTTACAAACTAGACTCAAAAGGTCTTTCATTTGATAGGCCGGCCCATAGAACTTAAGCTCATAATCATATTTAACAGAATGGTTTACCCTTAAAATGGACTGGTCCTTAATTTTGCCCGGTACGAACTTATGCTCAAGGGAGTGCGGCATAACTTATGAGATATTGGCGATAGGAAAATATAAACTTACTTCCAACGAGTTAATTACAAATTAAAGACTAACACAAAACAGGAAAAAAAGCGCAAAATGACCCAATAATCATTCCCTCCAAAATGGGACTATTTCGTTCCAGTTCAATGAAGGAAATTAATCAAAAGAAGAAAAGAAAGTACCTTGGCAAGTGAAAACTCGTCATCTGAACAATAGACTTGTCGGAAGTTATAGCAGACGATGGCTGAGGATGAACCAGCAGCTCGCAACAACCCCAAGTCGAAGTCGATACTGGGGTTTTCGCCAAAATCGAATCTTGATTACTGAAAAGTGGTCGATTTGTGCACAAGTGGTAAGTAATGTCAGAGGTAATGAAGGTCGATTTTGAGCATGAATTTGAGTGTAACTGAAGACGGCAAAACTTCCGAGAACAGAAAAGGGTTCCTACAGCCCTATGGCTGCAACTGATTTTCAAATTTTTCGGTAAGGATATGGAGCTGGGAGGAGAACAAGAGGCCGGTAGTGCAGATACAGGAAGAGGAAAAAGAAGCGCCAAAATGTTTTGAGAAATTTTTGATGATGATGATGGGCATTGTATCTACTTCAAGTTTAATATTTTTCTTTTTAATTTTTAAAATATTACTTTTACAACCTTATTTTAATTTTAGGAAAATAGCATTTTTGGCCTCTGGAATTAATGTTTTATTCTTGATTTTGGAAAATATAATAACAAAACAATAATATATCGTGTGTAATCTCATGAATCAGGTTCAAAGAAAGTCGGATGTACAAATCTATCCTTGCCTTAATGGATATAGAGATATTACTTTTATAGACTTTCAACTCAAAAGAAGTATAACGCTACCAGATAGAAAGAAAATAATAACAAAAACTAGCAAGATAAATAAAACAATTGAATTAATATGTACTATAGTTGTAGTAAAGAAAAATAAGAATATTTAGTAAACGAAAAGGATAAAAAATGTCCTAACGAATGAACACCTTAAAAATGCTCTCCTTCACCTATTGGTTCAAAATACATAATATTTTTTGGGATAAATTTTCAATCTAGACCCAAGATTTTTACTATATTGATGAGCTTGATTTTTGGCTCCATGCTTGCTTGGCAAGTTCTCCAACAAATGATGATATGATTTTATGCTTGGCGTTTTGATATTATTGATATTCTTCATTTAATATGTTTGCTAAAAATTGGGCTATTTTATGGGTTCGGTTTAAATTGTATTTATTAGGCTTTCTTGCTGGGTCAAAAGTCTAGGTGGACCAATAATTAAGGTCACTTGTTTAATTAAATGATTAAACAAAGTCATGTCATGTTTCTATTAATATATAAAGGATTATTCTTATTCTAATGATAAGATTGAAGGTATTTTTGAATCAATAAGTGGAAAGAGGGTATTTTTAAGCCATTTCTAATAATACATGGGCATTTTTTATCCTTTTTCATTCCCGCAATACCATGTAAGACTACTAAATGAAGAGAAGATGACAAATGAGAGACCCCCGCCCTCCGAAAAGGCCTACAATATTCAAATCGCTTGCTACCTTAATTCTCCACGCTTTCAAATCTTCCTATCTAAAGTCATGTTCTCACTAAGTTGGAGATGTATCGTGCCATGTCTGATCACCTCCCAAATGAGGCGGACACACACTATGGGGGTCATATGCATCCTTAAATTTTAAAAACCTATATATACAAATGTATATACCTTATGTAAAGTATATATTGATACCTGGGCACTTTGAACTACAAACATTATTTGGGTGCAATCGTCTAGTCGTGTCTTCGTAAATTAATACTTAATTGGGTTCAACCTCATGCCTACAATGAGGCAGCGACATTTTTACGTTTATGATAAAAACAAACAAACAAACATTAAAAGATTCAAAAATTTTGTGGCAAGTAGGATTCAAACTCTTGAAACCTTGTTAGGAAAAGCATAGCCCTTTGCCAGTGGCATCTACACGCGATTAATTCCGCTGTACATTTTATTAATAGGAATATAATGTTAAAGGGAGTGTCAGCCACCTTGAAATCTCGGGTCCGCTCTCGCCTCTAGCCTTCTTCTCAACCTACCTCACTTTCTAAAACCTACATAATCAAACCCCAATACCTCCTTATCGCGGCCTCTACGCACCTCCCGCTACGCCTGGAATTCATTCAGTCCTCGATTCCCTATGCTCTCACTGAGGTTACCCTACACTGTCTCTTTGGCAACTCACTTCCCCACCCGCCTCCTAATATGCTTACACATTCATCTGAGTACTTCATCTCACTACCTTATCTTTGAACATACGTGTTCTTAATCTGACCAAATATATTTTTAAAAATATAGTTAAAAATACCGAAAGACAACATTGAAATCAGACGTTTTTCAAAGAAAGAGCATAAGAGCGGGCGAAGATTAATTTAAGAGTAAAATGTCTTTTAACGTATTGACATGGTTTTAAATGGGTTTGGGGTGGGTGTGTGTTATTTGCCAAATGACCGTTTTTTCCTTCGAGGCTCCAAGATATAGACATATTTTTTATGAAAAAATTATTTAAAAAATTAAATTCACCGTGAGGCTAGACAAGCCTGAGTAGATATAGTTGTGAGAGTGGGAAAGAATCACCATGACTTGTTTTACCTATTTTTATTAGGAAAATCATTTTCTTATTTTCAAGAAATTTGTTTTCTAAAAATTATTTCTCAAAATTTTTTATCAAGGGATTCAAATACGAGAAAATATTTTCTAGAGAATATTTTTCTCCACACCAAACACACCTTTTATCTTCTATTTTTTTTGGTAGATACCGAATTTAAAAGTTGTGCTTAATTCATCACCAAGAAGATTAGATGATAGAAACAATCTATTTATTTAAGCTAATATTACACTTAGGTTGTGTGTGTCGTGACTAAATTTATTAGTGACCTCAAAATCAAGATTCCCCCTTATTAATATTTCAATTGAAATAGCCAAGGACGGAAACGTTTAATAAAAGCGTTATTGTTTAATGATTTCAACTTTAACTAAACTTTATTCAATTATTAAGGCCTTTAGTAAAGTTGAAATCATTATCAAGTTAATTATGTTGATTAACTATTCATAATTGGATATAGAGAAGTTATTCTATTTATTTTCTACTGACGACACACACCAACAAGTCGTTGTAGTATAGTGGCAGTATTCCCGCCCCTGGTCACGCGGGTGACTCCGGGTTTGATCCCCTCTCGGCAACGGCGAAACTCCATTTTATTTTATTTTATTCAATTGTCGTAGAGAAGACTTTCACAAAATAACATAATTTATGCTTATTTATAAAAACTACTTGGCCCGCTTTCTGATTTGCTTATTTTACTTTCTTTTTAGTCCATTTTCAAAAAGTTCATGTTTTTTATAACTCTTTATTTATAAATTTTCGCATTTATTAATGCTTAAGAAGATAAAGCATCATGGTGACATTTTTATACATTCTATATATCTTTAGTTTATGATCATATAAAACTAAAAATCTTTTACTTTCTTAAATTTTGTGTCAAATTAAAATCAGATAAATAAATTAAAGGGCTTAGCTATTTATTAATGTTAATTTGGATGTTCACTGACATGCAAATTGGTCTTACCGTCCATCGCTTCCATCATGCATATTCAAAGAGTTCTCTCCTTTAACGGCACATTACGTGCGTCCAAGACGAAAATATTTTCTTTTACGATTAGCGGGTAAAAAGTTTTAAAATATTTATTTTAGAAAAAAAGATTTCTTAAACGAGGAAAATAATTTTTCTAGTGGACATATAGAAAATGAAGTGTTCACAAGTGACACTCCACGTTGATTATATTCTTTCCGACCTCCAACGCACCTTTATCTTTACCCTCATCTTGGTATCCCACAGCCCCACCACCCCAAACCCCTATTCATACCCCCATCTCTACCTCCGTATTATTTGTCCAAATTATATATAAATATCTTTAAAATATTTTAACTTCAATTGTTTAGTTTTTATAAAATCAAACACAAATAAATAAATAAATAATTCACTTATTTCATAACAAAAATATTTTCCTTCGATCTCCATAAATAGGTGAAAGAGAAAACATGAGGAAAGAAACTCATGGTGAGATTTAATCATGCATACTTTGGTGATGAATGAAATTGAAACTCTAATTAATTATCTCTTATGCAAATAATAATACATGACATGATGATAATATCTAATTAAGAATACCAAATAATGGTCATTTTGCTTTCATAATTTTTTTTTCGATTTCACTAGCTAACTTTTGAAACAATATAAGTAGGACTTATAATTTATTAAAAGATTTTTGGAAAATTCAAAAATTAATAAAATATTATTATATTCTTCGGGTGCACTACATAAACTTATTCCCGCACAATAGCTTGCAAATGACATGATGAATCGCACTAGATAAATGTGGTGCGACGAGCTCCTCTAATTAATCAAGAAGGGATGAGGTAGCTTAGGGAGATTTCCTGGCATGAGTGGCATCCCTTTGGGATACCATATCCAGTACACCGACTCAACCGACTAAGAAAAGACCAAGTGAAATTCGATCTCTAATTTTCCTCATAGAATATCAATATGTACTCTCGCTACACCAACTCCCATCCTACTCTGCTATAATTTATTATTTTGATAAGTTAAAATAAAAGAAGATTCGAATTTATTTGACTACCTTTGAAAAAAAAAAACATTAAAATAAAAGAAATACCATCATTTGCAAACTAGTAGATTAGTAAAAGCCAAGAAGCAAGTTAATTAATACCATAATTGAAAATAAATTCTAATTAATTTCTGACTGGCGCCTAGCATCAACAAGTCGTAGTATAGTGTAAGTATTCCCCTGTCACGCGGGTGACCCGTCTGATCCTCGTTAAGTAATCTAAGGAAGCTCCATTTCATTTTATTTTATTCAATTGTCGTAGGAATACTTCACAAAATAACATAATTTATGCTTATTTATAAACTACTCTGGTCCATTTCGATTTGTTTATCATACTTTTTTTAGTCCATTTTCAAAAAGTCTGTGTTTTTTTTTTATAACTCTTTATTTACAACTTTTCGTATGACGTGTTTAAGAGTATAAGATCAGCCAACATTTTGATACATTCCCATATATCTTAGTTTATGATCGCATAAAAATTCAAAAAAATCTTTTTACTTTCTTAAATTTGTGTCAAATTAAACCAAATAAATAAATTAAAGAAAGGAAGTATTTATTAATGTTAATTTGGATATGTTCACTGACATGCAAATTGGTCTTACCGTCCATTGCTTCCATCATGCATATTCAAAGAGTTCTCTCACTTAACGGCACATTACGTGCGTCCGGTATCAAAAATATTTTTTTATGATTAGCAGGTAAAAAAAATTTTAAAATATTTATTTTAGAAAAAGTTTCTTAAATGAGAAAATAATTTTTCTAGTGAAAATATAGAAATTAGTGCTCACAAGTGACACTCCATGTTGATTATGTCCTCCCTAATCTCCAATGTACCTTATCTTTACCCTCGTCCCGGTATCCTACAGCCCTACCCACCCCAAACCCCTATTCATACCCCATCTCTACCTCCGTATTATTTGTCCAAATTATATATAAATATCTTTAAAATAATAAAATCAAACACAAATAAATAAATAAATAATTCACTTATTTGTATAACAAAAAAATATTTTCCTTCGATCTCCATAAAGAAAGAGAAAAATTTAATCATGCATACTTTGGTGATGAATGAAATTGCAACTCTAATTAATTATCTCATATGCAAATAATAATACATGACATGATGATAATATCTAATTAAGAATACCAAATAATATCATTTTAAGCTTTCAATTTTTTTTTTCGATTTCACTAGCTAACTTTTGAAACAATATAAGTAGGACTTATAATTTATTAATTTTTTTTTTTTGGAAAATTTCAGAAAATTCAGTCGCTATTATATTCTTCAAAAAAATAGATAAACTTTAAATTCTGTACAATAGCCTGCAAACATTGCTTAGATGGTCCTGACTAGATAAATGTGTGCACGAACTCGACTAATCAAGAAGGGATGAGGTAGCTAGGGAGATTTCCTAGCATGAGTGGCATCCCTTTGGGATACCATATCCACTACACCGACTCAACCGACTAAGAAAAGACCAAGTGAAAATTAGATCTCAAATTTTCCTTATGGAATATCGATATATACTCTGAAGCCATAAATTAAACTCAACCATCCCACGTGCTATAATTTATTTTGATAAGTTAAAATAAAAGAAGATTCGACCTCTATTTGACTACCTTGCAAAAAAAAAAAAAAAAACATTAAACTAAAAGAGAATAATACCATCATTTGCAAACTAGTAGATTAGTAAAAACCAAGAAGCAAGTTTATTAATACCATAATTGAAAATAAATTCACTAATTAGTTTCTGACTGGCATCTAACATCAACAAGTCGCTGTAGTATAGTAAGTATTCCCGCCTGTCACGCGGGTGACCTGGGTTCGATCCCGGCAACGGCGAGTTTAATCAAGAAGGGATGAGAGATAGCTAGGAGAGATTTCTTGGCATCATCTAGGGGGGTGGGCATTTGGTTTTTCACTTCAATTTTTTAAAATTTCAAGTTCAATTTTTTTTCGATTTTTCGGTATTTCATAGTGCAAGGCATACCAAATCAAGCTAATTCAGTTCATTTCAATTTTTTCAACGCTTCTGTTCGGGCCGATTTTTTCTTGCTTCTTAATTAATGGGCTATTTTTTTACTTACAAAATGAGCTACTTTAATTAAAAATGAGTTGTTTTATCTTGTATTTTTTAAAGTTTAATTCAAACTAAGCTTAACTTTAACTTTTTAAGTAAAGAAAATAGCAGATCAATTGGATTTTACATTTAGTAGTACATAAATAACATTTGAATTTTTGATAATAATTTTCTCATATGCTTAATATCCTTAGAATAAAACCACAAAAATTAAGGGTCTTTTATGATTTCACAATCTGTGGTCCCTAATTTCTTGTTAAATAAATATTATTATTTTTGTTTTTTTAATTTTTTCTTTTTAATAGTAACGTTTTAATGTTTTTATATTATTAATTTAAAACTATTATAAAATTTGTTATTTTTTTTATTTTTTTTATTTTTTTTATTTTTTTTATTTTTTTTAGTTATTTATTAATTTGAAATTAAAGATTTGATTTTTTTATATTTTTGAAATTAAGTTATAATTTTAAAAAATTAAAAACATAATTTTTTGTTTTTTTAAAAAATATATATAAAATTTTTAAATTAAAACATTTATGAAAGAAATTCCGAAATTATAAAACCAAAAACCGAACCGAATTAAAAAAACAAACCGAACCGAATTAAAAAAACAAACCGAACCGAATTAAAAAAACAAACCGAATTAGTTTGGTTCGGGTTCGATTTTTCAATTTTTCAAGATTTATGCCTCCATTCTACCGGCATCCCTTTGGGATACCCACATCCACTACACCGACTCATCCGACTAAGAAAAGACCAAGTGAAATTCGATTCCCATTCTTCTCTTATGGAATATCGATATATATTATCGCTACAATTCAACTCATCATCCTTACCGGTTATAATTTATTATTTGATAAGTTAAAATAAAAGAAGATTCGAATTTATTTGACTATTTCCTTTTAAAAAAAAACATTAAAATAAAGAAATACCATCATTTGCAAACCAGTAGATTAGCAAAAACCAAGAAGCAAGTTAATTAATACCTTACAATTGAAAATAAATTTAATTAATTAGCTTCTGCCTGGCCTCTAACATCAACAAGTCGTTGTAGTATAGTGGTAGTATTCTGCCTGTCACGCGGGTGACCCGGAGTTCGATCCCCGGCAACGGCGAAGTTTCTTTTCTTTTCTTTTTCGTTTTTTTGCCAGCTGCACATGTCTAATTATAATCGAAATTATTATTTAGGATGTTTGTACGTATTTCGGTTTTTCGCTAGCGTAATATGTCTAATTATTGTCGGGGTTATTTGTCATTTTTGTACAAAAACAACAATAACATACTCTCAAAAGATAATTCAAAACATAAAGTTCGTAGGATAACTGATTAAGAAGACCGCAAACCACTTTAACTTCTCTATTTGGATGGTTGTTACATGGGTCAATCATAATATATACTATTATATTGTATCTTACTTTATTGTTATATTGAATACATTGTTCAAGGTATCGAATAAATATATTTATTTTCGTTGTTAC